TATTAGTACTGCTATAATAATGGACTTAATCTTAATTTTATAGATTTGTCATGTTGTAACTGCCTAATCCGTAAGATCTTACGTGGAAGTCACATCATTGTCTACCCCGGTTAATTGTACCATAACAATAACCAATATATGATGGAGAACACTTCCAGGCTGGAGATAGAAGAATATATTTAATATGAGTGAAAACATATCATACAGAATGACAATGCCTGCAAGGCTGAAACATGTCACCCTATTGGATGCAATTGAATTCATTCTTCCCCCCTTCTACATCGTTGGGTTTTTTTCTGCGTTAAATGATGAATATCTATTTCCCAGTTGTCTTGTGTTCAGCTCTGAGGATTGTGTGGTTAGAGCCTAATGTCACTACAGTAGTACTGAATCGTTAGAAGAGGGCGACTATGGTAACGTTCAGGTATTTTCAAATTACCTTAGCAGTGTATATACAGTATAACCATCCTTCCCTCCAGTTCATCCAGCTCCATACACACAATGGTCGCCGTAACCATGATAGAAATCGATATCTTTGGTCTGCTAAATGTGCTTGATATGGGCAATTTCATGGGATCCAATAAAATGAATCCAGGTTGCTAAAAGAACTAGCAAATTTTGTCGCGAATCCCTTAAGTATATGTTTCAATCTATCTGTAACTGGGTGTTGATTATCGAAAGACCGCAGGGATGCTTTAGTTCTATTTCCAAAACAGCTAGGAGACATTAGCCGGTTAACTACCGACCTGTAAACCTAACCAGCGTGGTTGTTAAAATTTCAGAAAAGATTATTCGGAAAGAAGTTAAGTTATATCGAGGTTAGAGGTAATTTGTTAATGTGCATAAAAGACTTCCTAGTTGGGTGTCATCAAAGAGTACGTGTGAACTCCAAGTTATGTAAGTGGCAAACTGTGCTTGGTGCTGAGCTTCAGGGTACAGTTTTGAGCCAATGTTGTTACTTCTGTATATAAATGACACTCCTAGTCTCTTATGCTAATCGGTTTTGTTGCATGCTGACGTTGTCAATATATGGATAGCGATAAAAAGTGAAGGTGATAGTTTAGAGCTCGAAAATGACATAGAGAAATCATCTTAGCTGTTGGAGAAACAGCCAGGCGCCGTCGCACTTATGCTGTGTATTTACAAACGAAGAATTCCTAATTGACAACCTCTCAATTCTGGCTCCCTTAGGAAAAAACGACCACGCCGTCATAGCTTTTAGTTTTATCAGCAAGACTGAGCTAAGACATCCCACCAACGACAGGCGCTCAACTTTCAAACGGTTGGATGTGTCAGCTTTACAGGACAATCCACGACAGGTGGATTGGGAATTTCACACTCAACCTTATGTGGATGCTCATTGGGATTTCTTGCTGCACACGATCTTATGTGCTACAAAACAGTCTGTTCCTCAAATGGCCCCAAAAATCTCCACTCAACCTACAGTCATCAAGATCCGCACTCTTCGTTTGCTGAGTCATAAAAGACACTGTAGGGAAGAATACAAACGATCTGATAAGAACGGCGTGTACAGGCAGTGCAAAAGTATGAGGAACATATTCACAAAGGCGATAAGAGAATACAGGCTTCAGTTTGTCTCTAATCCGAAAAGTTTATTCCGTTATGCAAACACTCTTCGACAGGCCAAAACTGGAGTTTCCCAACTGCTAGGTCCTAATGGCCCCAACGGTAACGACGGTGACGCTACTAACCTTCTGGCTAAACGGTACTCTAGGATATTCCAACCGCCCCATATTAGTTATGCTGATGAAAGCTTCATCTGCAACTGCACAGGACTTTCCGAAGTGAACCTGAGCGTTAAATTGATGTACCGGAAACTGTAGCACCTAAGAAAAGACATTACTCATGATCCGGATATGGTTCATTCTGTTATACTGATTGAAGCAGATTCAATCATGGCAACACCGCTGAGCATGATGTTCTCACACTCACTAAGCCGAGGCACACTACCAAAAATTTGGAAGCTGGAACACATCACACCAATTTTCAAAGGAGGTCGACGCAGCGAACCTTCAAGCTACCGACTAGTGGCTCTTCTCTCTATACCTTCAAAAATGATGGAATCCCTGATATGAGACGGTATGCTCAAACGTCTTTTCACTCCAACAGCATGGTTTCAGGAAGGGTCGTTCTTGTATAGCCAACCTGCTGACTGCGGTGGACAGATGGACAACCATCCATGATCGCAAGGGGAAGGCTGATGTCATTTACGTTGAACTTTCAAAAGCTTTCGATAGGGTCAACCATATAAGTCTTATCAGTAAGCTCAAACGACTGGGTACCAGATCACTTCTAATTCATTGGCTCACTTCATATATAAAAAATCCACCTTTTAAGGTCAGGGTGAACTTCACTTTCTATCAGGCTATGGAATGTCTTAGTGAGGTCCCTCAGGGTTCAGCACTAGGACCTTTTCTTCTCTTGATTCATATAAACGATATTCCACAACAGGTATCGTCTGACTTATTATTTTTGTTGATGATGTGGAACCTTAAAGAGAGATGCGCAACCAAGAGGATATACTGGCACTTCAGGAGGATCTGAATCGATTCCAAGGTTGGGCAGATGACAACAGGCTTTCTTTCACCTTTTTTCAACCCCATTTAAGATATGCCACCGAAAACATATGGAACGGGTGACTTCATTCTGCACCATCATTAAAGCCTCTGATATTCCAGAGGGATATAAGGTTGCGGTTTCTAGAAGCCCCCAACTTGACATGGATCTATTCTCGATCATCAGTTGCACGTTGCAACGCAACTTTCACAAAGCGCACCAGCAGTGATACTGACAATACGATTCGTACTAAAGCCATCGACATTCATCTCTTATAAAATATCAACCCAGCTGAATAACGTACTACAGTGAAATATTATCTTTTGTAACAATTTGGTCTTGCCTGTAGACTAGCATGCCTCATGTCACAAACTGTTATTTGAGAATAAATTATTATCATTATCACTAACGGACTTATCTTTAACACTTCAAAGTGTAAAGTAGTCCATCTGACATATATTGCAGACTACGGTTAAAACTTAAGAAACTCCTCTCCAGAAGTATCCCAAGTTGAAAAATATTTAGGAGTGCTGGTATCCTGTAGAATTATGGTCTACTATGATATTAGTACTGCTCTAATAATAGACCCAATCCTAAATTTGTAGATTTATCATGATATAACTGCCTAATCTATAAGATCTTAAGTGGAAGTCACACCATCGACTATGCCAACTCACTGTATCGTACCAATTACCAATACATGATGTAGAACAAGGTTAGGCTAGAGAAAGAACAATATATTTAATATGAATAGAAGATATAAAGTAACATTGAGATGGACCACGCCTGCATGGACGAGCCATGCCATCCGATCAAACCCAGTCCATTCAATTCATTCTCCGCGCCTTCTCCATTGTTAGGTATTTCCCCGAGTTAAATATTGAATATCTATTTTCCGAGTAGTCTCGTGTTCACAGTTTTGTGGATTGTGTGGCTATTGTCCAATGCCACTACAATCCTACTATTTAAAGTCTTACGCTAACTGTGACAAAAATGCCTTTCGAGTAAACCTTGCACTGGTGACATTAAAGCGCAATTTCGGCTAGTTTGACAGAAGAAATTTCCACATAATCTTCAATAGTTTCATTCTTCCCCAATTAGAGTACGAAACAAAGGATTTCCTCCCTCACTCCAAAAGGATAAGGACACTCTGGAACGTATCCAACAGTGAGCCACGAAATCAGTTCGAGGACTCAAATCCAAGCCTTATGAGGAGCGCTTCTAATCACTAAACCTTTGCCCACTAAACTATAGGCGTCTTGAGGTGACCTTCTAATGGCTTATAGCATCCTTAACACTCCTTGACTTCCTCTTAAACACCTACTTGAGTTTAGCTCCAACACAAGACTAAGGGGTAACACCCGGAAGCTGGAGACATAGCACTGCAGAACGGACTGTTAACACAACTTCTACTCCTTAGGAGTTGTTAAATGCTGGAATTCACTGCCGGCTGAGCTAGTCCAAGCGACCTCCCAGGAGTCCTTTAAGAGGAAACTCGACATATTTTTAAGGACTAAGGATAGTATCTTACTATGATTCACCAACTTCTTTTTCCCTTTTTATCGTTAATATACCTATGTTCCTGTCTGGAGTTATTGGGGATCCATTGCTACTAGACACAGAAGGCCGTTAAGCGGAAGCCCCTTCTATTCCGTTCACAACTATCTGAACCATTTGAATGGTCTCAACTTTGACAATTTCCAATGAATTCTTTCAAGTTCATTGTGATGCATATTGGTCATTAAGGTACATATATACATACGGGGAATAACCGTGAACTACCTGTTGGACAGACACACAATGACTTGGGAGTCATTGCTAGCCAAGACTTTGAGACTATTGCACACTACCGTGAGATAGCCACCAAAAGTTCTAGAGCCATATTGTCAACATGTAGGGCCTCTGACCATGTCGATGCCAAAACCTTTTTGACTTGGTGAACAGTATTCATTCGTCCTAAACATGAGCACTACATACAAATGGCTAGTCCCTGTCTAAAGGGAGACAATGAACTGTTGAAACGGTTCAAGTAGATTCTCGGAACAGCAAAGCTCCCGTATGATAATGGACCAGCCAAACTAAACCTATTTCCATTGCTATATCGAAGAACTACAGGCGACTTGATCATAGTTTTCAAAAAACTCTTAGTGAAAAATTTTCATCTGGTATGCCCTTGTCTTTCTAAACAGGAAATCTAAAAGGACACTCTAAAAACGTTCACAAGCCCAGAACAAATTACGTGTCAGCTGACCATCGATATTCACACCAAATCACCAACGAATGGAACTCATTACATCAACACGTGATTGGAGCTCCATCTGTCAGCGCTCTAAAAAGAAACTTGGACCAACTGAGAGACCACTATCACTAGAACTAACACAAACCACCTAGCCTCCTGTCCTTCCCAAACTGAAATAGCTCTAGGTCATTTAAATACCGCAAGATTCGAGCACATCGCACGCCTTGCAATGAATTGTACTAACGTGGGCCAAATAGCTGGTCTTCGATATGGATTCTACAGCCCTGATGAAATCAGAAGGTTGTCAGTTCGCAAGGTAACAAATGACCTGGCTTTCGACAAATTTACTGGTCGTGGAGTAGATGGAGGGCTTCATGACGTAAATTTCGGTAAAATATCAACATACTACTCATTGATATTTCATAGGGGTCATTGGCTACAGTGAGACCTGTGCACACTGCGGCATGGATTTTACAGATTGTCCGGGTCACTGTGGTCATATCGAGTTTTCGAAACCAGTATTCAACCCTTTCATGTTTGATGTATTGTACAAAGTAAGTGCACGTTGTTTATGTTTAATTCTTCAAGATTGTGAAGTCTTTCTGCTTTGGGTGTTTTCGCTTATACAGTGCAGAGTATCTTGCTTCAGCCTTATATCTACTTGGAGCACCAGGTAAGTGTATCTCATATAATGAAATTAATGCTCTTAGTCAGTAAGCTTCCCGGCAAACTGAAAGCTCTTGAAATTAAAGAGTTGGAAGGGTTATCAGGCGATGATTTGCGCCAAGTGGCGATTAGAAACTTAGCTACAAGGCCCCGTGCCCCTTGTAAGTTGTGCGGTAGCGGGTCTTGGGGTCTAAGGCACATTAGTAAACAACAGTTAGTTCTCCACCCAATATCTATTGCTGGCGGTAACCGTTCAAAGGCAAGAATGAAAGAGTAAGTTATAGATTTCATTTCTTACCAATGTCTATTAATCTTTAAGGTTACTAAGAATGATGATTATTAGACCCAATGTGAGCGCATCGACGTTGAACACTAAAAAACTACGGGTTTAAGCAAACACACTTCGCTTCACAAACAGTATTTGAGTCAAAAGACGAGGGTACATGTTAAATACCAGAATGTTCAAGCTCATAAAGGTAGAGTACATCCGACCCTTTTACAATCGATTCAGAGCCGTTCCATATAGGTTCTTTTATATCTAATCCTTATCATTCCGAGGATTCTGCCTGATAAATATTTCATCCAGATGATTTACATCAAATGCTGTTGAGTTTATGAACCACTTTGGTCTTGTTACATGTAGCTTCTCCAAACTTAACCTCACCTTAAACAACATCTTAACGAGTTAGGTAGTGATTAAAGATGCTAAACACAAAACATCCATCAATCAGTATAGATTCACGATTCTGTTGGCCCAAATATCACCGTAGCTTAGAACTCAAAACACTACCAGTTCTTCACCTTGTCGTCCTAAACTACAGTAGTAATACTGCGATTATTCCTACTACTAAATGCTTATTATTTTCACATCTTCCTTTGCAATGGTTGTCACAAGTATGGATTTACTGAGAGTAAAATATATATTTCCTTTTGAGTCTCTTAGGTGTGTTTTGGGTACCAGAAGCAGTAGACATCGACAGACAACGGACTGGCGGTACTCATTCCTAGGGAGATTTAATCGATGATTACATCTTGGCTAATGCGCTTTCTCAAATATGTAAATTGATTCGTACGATAACTGACATCTGGGTTCGGCTCTGTTATATGCTCTAATTATAGTCATCTGAAAGAAAACTAGAGTAGTATGGCTCAAAATAAGCTAAATTAGTGCAGTTTTTTAATTTTTACTAATCAGTTTCATCCGTTTCTGAGTTGTATTCTCTATGTCCAGTTCACTACTAGCGTGGATATTGTTACCTTGAGTTCCCTGATTTCCACTTATATTAACTTCCTTCTGTTGCGTTGAAGTCAGTTGGAGCAACTCAAACATATATATTTATCAAGCTATAAGTCGCTGTCTCTCCCCGTTTTGTTATTCTAATCAAAACTTGACTGATCAGTCGCTCTAAAATATTAACCAACTGAATCTAGTTACTAGTTTCTTTATAATACAGTTTTCAAATTCGCCAAAATGTAAGAAATAAAATAGTAGGGGTTTAATATGGTACATATAAAAATAGGGGATTTCTGATCGCGACCCAATAAGCTTTACAGATTATGCAATGGTGTATGTTCTCACCCTTTCTATCCAGGTTCAAATATTCATCGGCCGGGTGACTAGTCTTGTTAAAACATCGTTCTTTCTGAAATTCTCTTGCCCTAACATATACTACAGAGACAATGGAAACAAGATGTGTTTCTCTCATTTTCACCTCAAAATAGACTAAAAGTGTACTAATTGGGTCTGATACACTGTAGTGCTAAAGGAATTATGTTTTCTAAAAACCTACTTCGTCAAGATAATTAGTATCCAGTCATAGGCTAGTTTGTTTGGAATATCTGAAGCACTAAGTCAGTTTAGTTTACGTCTGTCATTTTCAGAAAAGTTGTCTTACTGTCACCAAATTCTATGCTGTTGACTGGGGGTAGTTGCCTATGCAGTTACAGATACAATCTCGGTTAAGCGTCCAAGTAGTTAAATTTCACTGTTTTGCCTCATACTGGATACCCGTTCTGCAGAATTTTATTAACATTACAGACCAGATAATATAGAATCATTCACTACTAAGCGGTCAGTTGGTATGACTACATAAATGTACAAAATTACGTGTCATCACAGTATTGCTGTTTGTACTAACAAAATTCGAGTGTCACTTTCATTCATTAGTTCTAATGGTCATTCAGTTCTAAATTGTGTTCAGACAGCCGTACTAGGTTTATGACTAGTACAGAAGATGTAAGACGTGTTGATGAATCTTTTATTATTGATAAATAATTAATGTTGTTAACGAAACCTGTTAATTTACTTCAAGAGGATGGCCTTGAGTCGGGTACTCATTATCGTAACACTAACAGGTTCCCGGGCACAGATCTCATTCCGTAGTTTATTACCCTGAGCTCACTGTTTTAGTACGCCTTTGCCCGTTAATTCATCGGCCCATTAGTCTCTTGTTTTTCATATTGCTTAATATATACACAGTTCGTTACACTTAGTTGTGTGTGAACATATTTGGGTAATTAGCTGTTTAGTATCATTCAGAAGATAAAAAAGTCTTTTTAATTTACTTCGATTTTGAATATGTACATTTACGCATCACTTTTGAATGTAGAAATATTTAGTAATCAATTTGCACTGATTTACTTTAGGATGGCAGTGTTTAAGATGTTCTCATTGCCAAAGAGACTTTTCACAGTCTCTTTACGTCATTATTGCTTTAAAATCCTCACCATGTATGTAATATTGGATAATCTCTTTCTGTAGGGAATTGGAAGAAGATTGTAGTGACCTTCTTGAAGGTTGCAAAGTAGATGACCAACGCATGGAACAAAAGTTATCTATGTTCATCGATATGTCTGATGGAAGTGAAGTTAGCAAAGCAGAAACTATTTACACGGCAAACTTATCCACTGCTCGGAATATGCTGTCTGAGGCAATAAAAAGTCAACAACACTCCAAAGAAATATGTTTCCCGCCTGGTATGTAAAAATCAATTCTAAAATAATTGTGTTATAAATTTAAAACAATAAAGCAGTAAGATACAAGGAACCAAGATGAATACGTCATAAAATATAATTGCCGAGTTATAAAGATGTAATGTGACAACGTTTATAAAACTCAACAATCAGATACAGCTATAAAAGATTGCCTATTTTTTGCCTTTCATTGTACACTGTATTGTCTCTAAACAACAGAAACGGAGTCTTTTGCAGATAGTTGGTATGTCAGGAAATCAGTAAAAACTTTTCGAAATGTAAATTATTATTTCTGTGGTTTCGTTCTCCAAGCTGGCTGGTCTAATTGGGAAGCTCCCGTTGTTCTTCTAAACGACATCATCAGGATAGACCTCAAGCGGAAGTGAGGCATTTGAATTTCTCCATATATGACCGAAAGATTGTCCTACCGATCTTGCGGAAACACTAGCTATACATCTGGATAAACCAGAATTATGTGTCAATAAGAAACTATTACAACCTCTTCTACCACGGTCTTAGTTTCTCGTATCTTTTCTTTCTTCATACCTTTCTTTTCTCACAGCCATCTTTTTTCCCCTTATCTTGGACCTAGAACTTTTCCCCCATCCATTTCTGTTTCTATGATCCTCTTGATTACAGTTCATTCCAACTTCAACATTTTATCATGTTGAGTCTTCTCTTCCCAGTTATAATTTCCCTATATATCTTCATAGTGAATATTCAAGCTCTTAAAAAATTATCATTAGTTTCCTTAATAAAAATAACGCTTTAATCCCTTTGTTTATCCTACCTGACTGTTATCATGTTTAGCAGAACTTTTATCACAACTACTGTAGTTATTTTCATTTTTAAAAAAAAGATTCAGTATATATTTGTGATTTTATAGCTTTGAAAATGAATTCGCCGAAAAGGGAACTCTTCGCTGAACCAATCTTATTTTGTCTTCATCTTATTGTTAGTAACATTATCAACATTATTACTGAAGCTTCCTTACTCGAACACTATTGGTTAGTCCAAATTTTACAGTGGACTATCATATGCAGTCTTTACTTCAAGTGTAATACCTCAGCACCGCCAATTTCTTTATTTTATCTAATCGTAAAAACCCCTAAATGTTTGTTTTCCCGGTTTTTGGACTAAGGCATGACGTTATATAAAGCCGTTGATCTTCATTTTGAACCGTATAGTGGGATGCGAACTTCCTGGTCAGGTTATGTGACATAACTAAAAGCAGTTACTGGCTTTCTTCCGTTCTACTGATTTACAGTGTAGCAAGTTGAACCATTACATATTTATTCTAGGTTCGTTGTTTAAGACTGTGTCCGTTGATTTGAATGAACTAGTTCACATACGTTTATTTTATGTATTCGTAACGATGGAAAGTCATTTGACTGTTACTTGTAATACGATTCTAAGGTTACCGTGTATTCTTACTCATTGTCCTAATTATCTCGATTTTCTTCACCTAATAATATAATTACATGAGTTATTCCCTCTGAGCTCTATAGACGAGTTGATTCTTTTTACCATGGATGCAAGCGTCTTTCAGTATGTAAGATTTGATATTCATGTGCATCATTTTTTTGTTTATTCATAATTCAAACGTTCTTAGTAACATTTCGACGTTTTCTATTATTTAAGAGATGATCCGTATAATGCTGAGGTGTCTCTGGGCCCATGACGGGGATCTTTTAGTACTATTATTTCCTATGCTTAAAGCTGCAAGATTAAACCACACATTTCCTACCGACGTATTTTTTATGGATAATGTTCTGTTGTCTCCTTCTCTTTGTCGTTGGGTAAGAAGTTTATCTTGAGTGTTGACTCTTCAATGTAGTATAATGTCCATACCCTGTTTCTAAGTATATACATAAATATTTATTAACAGGACTGTTTCTTTTCTGCCCTTTAACTTATCTAAAACTTACAAAAACCGAAGACCGACTAATTCCTTAGTAGTTATATTTATACCACCCTTTTATAAAAGGATCCCTAGGATGTTTAATTCACTAAAATACTAACATATGCACACACAACATCCAAGGGATTTGTAGTTGAAGCTAGTAATCCTGATTAGCTGGCTATCTTCTTTTATTGTTTAAGTATAACTTTGTGCTAATGGTGTCCGGAAACATAATGAATTCCTTATAATTAAATCATTTCACTCGGGGAATCCAATATTATCAAAATCAACTTCCTGATTTACAAATTTCCACCACAATATATGTCTTTCTTAGAACACAGTATTATAGTGTAAGGTCTATTGTTCCTGGCTAATTATAAATTTATTGTTTTGTTCAAACATTGAAAAAGTCTATAGAGGATGGTCGCGCAACGTCGTGGATTGGCTAACTTTAGACCATAACTTTGTTGGATACTAACTCAGTGGTCTAGAGGTTAAGTGTTCGCGTGCAAAATCTAAGGTCTTGGGCTCGATTACCAAGTGCGGAATCGTGGATCACGCCCATATACTCGAACAAAACGACCGCCCAGTGATTCCAGGTTTTCAATGGTGGTCTAAGTTAGATCGCTTCATGATTTCAATGAAATTCAACAGTCTTCACTACCCCATACTGAAAATTCAAGAATCATGTTCTAGTATGAATCTGCGTATTCCATAACATCGGTAAATCCCTGTAAACTCTAGTAGTGGCATACTTTGTGCTCACTTTAACCTAAATTTCAATAGTCACAGGCCGAATTTTAGAAAGCCGATAGGTACTTCTCTGTGTGATAATAATGAAGCTGATTTATCACCCTAAATATTAGATGGAATTTCGGTTGTTGTCTTTGTATTGCATTTGATTCGATGAAGCGAAGTATACTAATTTTTTATTTCAGCCACGGCATGTTGGGAATTTGGTTTATGAACATCCGGAAACTGCTGTTTATGTCCGTATTGTAAAACGAGCCCAATGTTTACACAATATCGTAGAGTTTATCCGTCAACGCAATGAAGTGAGCAATTCTGCTGATGTAAATAAACCTCCAGAACCAAAGTCCACAACTAGTGATGGTGATCTGATTGATGATGCACAATCAGATGGTGCACTTAAACTTGCAACTGTGCTTCTTCAAGCAGCTGTTAATGGAATATACGATATGAGTATGGCAATCACACCTCTAGGACTAGAGTCCAGAAGTGGAATCAGCAGTAACGCAGTTCGACTACCCGGCCTAAGACAACGTTTAGAAAGAAAAGAAGGTCTCTTCCGTATGCACATGATGGGAAAACGTGTTAATTTCGCATGCCGTTCTGTTATTAGTCCGGATCCGAATCTCAGTGTTACTGAGGTGAGTTTTTATCTCATCTAAATTCATTTCATGAACCATTAATTTAAGCCTTAGTTACCGGTATCTTGTATGAACCACGAATTCTTTATTGAAATATAATTACGAGCCACTCACTAATAATACGAGGTAGTGTTAGTCTTCCTAATATTTCCAAATACTATTACGTTATACAGCCCTCCTTATTTCCTGTGTTTTATCAGTCTCAATATATTTTAGGACGTTTTCAACAAATGCTATCTTGTAGAAAGTTATCAGTTAGTATGGTCTTTTTTCTTTACATTCAGCAAGTTTTTAAAACAATTGTCTCTTAACTTCATTTCACCCACTAGTCAGAAGTATTTTGCTGTTCAATATCCACAAAAGCCAATTTTAAGAGTATTATTCCTATATTAAGTAACTCAGCAATCCTAGTTATCATATTTTCTTATCAAAAACAATTTTTGTGTAGTTCACACTTGACCAAAATATGAGATATGCATAATATCATTCCTATCCTAATTTCGTATATCTTTGTATCACTTATGTTTCACTTACCACTGACCTTTATTGAGATTTTGGGAAGTTTTGATGTTTCTGTGAGCGTTTATTGAAATGATTTGTTCTCCAGTTCGGTCAAGTTCTTTGACTCTGTAACTTAGTGATTTAAACACTACTTTCATTTATTGGATGATAGGTTCGAATTGCGCTCTACCTACTTCAGTTCAACTCACTGGGCAGTATTTCCAGCCTTCATACCATAGGTATAACTCAAAGCCTAATACTTAAACTGGGGTAGTCTACTAAGTTGTATTAACATTGGTTTATTATGGTTTATATGTATAATTTCCATATTTCAAACCATCTCCTTCAATACTCCTCTTTTTTCTAAAGAATATGGGTGATCCGAGGTAGCTTATATGTATTTTACTTTTTCCATCAGCACATCTAAACATGTACAAGTATATATATATATATATATATCACTTGATTTGGTTTTTGAGGTATCAAACAATGGTTTTTAGGCAGTGGAATTACAGTCAATAGTATACTGGGCGAGTGGCCCCCCAAGAAAACCATCTGCTTCAGTTTAGGCGCCCGAGTAGTATCTCCGCCCTCACGTAAATCGAATGACTCGCATGGACTATACATAATTGGTACCTCCTTGTATAAATGTTTATGCGTTTAAATAAATAAATGATATGCTATGTGATATTCGATTTCATGCCTCTACACTCTCCTTTTGTTGAATCCCAGTCATGCTTCTCATTGTTTATGACTATTTAATTGATTTGGGTGAAATCATAACACATTCATTTTCAATATTGTTGCATATTCAAAACATCTGTACTTTTTACAATGCTTATTACCGACCTAGTTGTTATTTACGCAGTAAGTGGACCTCTGCTTTACTTCACAGAGCTTTTAATACCACAAACATCGTATGTATTTCCTTTATTTTCGGGATTTATGTAACTACATTTTACAATGATTTAAGTAATGCGTCTTTGTAACAAAGTGCAAGTTTGTGTACTCAGTTTTGAACCATACGTTTTATTTGAGAGCTCAAGCGGAGTAGGTAAGAATGAGTTCCAACTCCGCGACTTTTAATATTTTGTGTTATGCAATAAAATAATGCATAATTCTTCTCTACTCAGAAAGTCTTTTTATAATTAAATAATATAATCCGTATTTGATTTTGGTGGCCCGACCGTTGTTGCTACCTTGACGTGGTGGTCGGGCTTGCCTATCGTGATGAAGCAACCGAGCTATACTGGCTGGAACAACCGTTCCTCAAGGTCCTACCATGTCAGACAGGTCGGTTGAAGAGCGGTAAGACTAAAAGCAACAAACCCAAGGTCCGAAGGCGAAGTCGTACTGCTGACTGTACAGAGGTGTGACAGCAGTAAGGTGTTTCCTTCAGACAACCAGCATGACAGCGATGCTGCCTTCCCACAAGGAGGGGTGGGGTTAGAAAAGGTCGACCCTAAAAATGCACACCTCACCTTACCTCACGGATTTCCGTCTCCGGCGGTAAGGCCCTTTGAAGAACGGAGCTAACACGTCGAAAACCTTCCACAAAAAGGCCGTGCGCGACCGGCCTCAAGCAGTTGTCCCTTGGGCACTGCGGTCACGCTCTCAGGTCACTGAGACCACCTCTAATCCAATTTCCTTTTCAGGTACCTCCAGAAGAACCCTTCCACGGTGTGGGCAACCGGGAAGTGATAACCGCCCTCATACCTCTAACAGCACCCAAGACCACTGTATTCATAATCAACCTTCCTCTTCAATTCCTATTATTCCTCCTACATCGACTTTCAACTCTAAACTTCCTCCTTCGGCTTCCTCCTCAAGTATCACCATAGCCAACGATTCTAGTGCTCAAAACTCTGTCCCAGGTCTACTGAAACCTCGCTCCAAACTACACATTGGAGCTTTCAACGTACGCACTCTATGTCAAATCGGTCAGCAGGCTTCCTTGGCTAAAACCCTAGAGTCTCTTTCCATTGATGTATGCTGTGTCTCCGAAACACGCATACAGGATCCCAGTGTGGTCATTCACTTGACCTCACCTCGGCAAAACGGAGAGCCAACGAGATACACCCTTCGTGTATCTGGTGACCCGATGGCCAGTTCTCGTGGACTGGCAGGTGTAGGAATAGCACTAAGCATGAGGGCCGAACAAGCACTGCTAGAGTGGATCCCCGTCAACAGTCGTCTATGTGCTGTTCGGCTGAACGGCTACGTAAGAACTCGGAAGGATAGGGACACACGTCGTTGCCTTTTTGTCGTTTCTGTCTACTCTCCCACCGACTGCAGCTCAGATGAAGTGAAAGATGAATTTTACAGAAAGCTGTCCGAACTTCTTCAGAAAGCTAAACGCTCAGACATAGTACTCGTAGCAGGTGATTTTAATGCTCAGATAGGAAGCTTAAACCAAACAGAAAGGCATTTAGGTGGATATTTTAGTATTCCGACACAGCGAACAGATAATGGTGATCGCCTGCTGCAGCTATGCTCAGACAATCGTTTATTTTTAGCAAACACAAATTTTAAGCATAAGGAGAGACATCGTCTAACATGGCGACCCCCTACACCAAACCAACGATGGACTCAAATAGACCATATTGCCATCAGTCATCGTTGGAGAGGGTCGGTAGAAGATTGTCGCTCATTCTGGAGTACCTGCTTGGACTCCGACCACGCCCTAATACGGGCACGCATCTGCTTGCGCCTCACTGGACGCAAAAAAGCCACAGTAAAAAGACCCATTAGGACCGAACTGAGTAGCGAGGAAACCAAAAGTAGGTTCCAGGAACAACTGAGGTCACGATTAGGTAGTTGTGAAGACGAGGCTGACCCAGATGTTGCTTGGAAGGGCATACAATCAGCTGTGGAAACAGCAGTGACATCTATTAGTGACTTAAACCACAGAGTTGCAAGGAACCAGTGGATTTCTTCAAGGTCTGTAACACTGATGGATTCTCGCAAACTCATCCCATCAGGTTCTGAACATGATGAAGAGCGAAAACAAATCAGATCTAGGTTAAGAAAAAGTCTAAGGAACGACCGTGAGCAGTGGTGGGTAACGAAAGCAAAAGAGATGGAAAAGGCGGCGACTATAGGGAACACAAGACAGCTTTACAGACTAATAAAAGAAACTGGAATTAATAAGTCAAGTGTAAGTGAGATTATTTCGGAAAAAGATGATACTCTCATCTGCTCCCAGTCCAGACGTTTGGAACGATGGGCGGAACATTTTAGAGAACAGTTCAGCTGGCCTTCAGCTACTCTACAACTACCCTCCATTCCCAGACAATGTGAATGGAACATTGAAGTAGGTCCCCCAACTCTTGCTGAAGTTCAAAAGGCTATAGTTAATCTGAAACGAGGAAGGGCAGCTGGTCCAGATGGATTGGCTCCAGAGGTCTTTAAGGATGGTGGTCCAATTTTAGCGATTAGGTTGACTAACATTTTAGCTAAGATCTGGGAATTAGACTTTATCCCATCTGACTGGTCGCAATCACTTATCGTCCCAATATATAAGAAAGGGTCAAAATCATCCTGTGACAACCACAGAGGGATAAGTTTAACAAACATAGTATCTAAAATACTAGCCTCGATAATTATCAGACGCCTAACTAAGGCTCGTGAACTACAAACTCGAGAGAACCAAGCTGGCTTTAGACCTGGTCGTGGCTGCATCGACCACATATTCACCATTCGTCAGGTTCTAGAACACAGGCATACCTATCGGCGTCCGACGATGGTGGTCTTTCTTGACTTAAAAGCAGCGTTTGACTCTGTAGACCGCGAGACTCTGTGGCAGTGTCTGTCATTGAAAGGCGTACCTCAGAAGTACATAAACCTTGTGAAGGCTCTTTACTCGAACACTACTAGTCGAGTCAGGGCTTATGGCGAACTGTCATCTACTTTTGCAACTTCAAGTGGTGTCCGTCAAGGCTGTCCACTTTCTCCATTTTTGTTTAACTTCATCATAGACCTATTGATGGAAATAACACTCTCGTCGACTGAATTCTCGGGTGTTGATCTCCTACTAGGAGGTCCACTTATCGACTTAGAATACGCAGATGATATAGTCCTGTTTGGTGAAGAGGCTGACAAAATGCAGAGTCTTCTGGTAGCACTGAGCAACAATGCCAGAATGTTTGGGATGCGCTTCTCTCCCTCTAAATGCAAGTTGTTGCTTCAGGACTGGTCTGCGTCAACACCTGAACTAAGGATAGGGAGTGAAGTAGTCGAACGCGTCGACAACTTCACTTATCTTGGAAGTCTGATCAGCCCTAATGGGTTGGTGTCTGACGAAATCTCAGCACGGATTCGAAAAGCTCGATTGGCTTTTGCCAACTTGCGCCACCTATGGCGAAGGCGAGATATCCGTCTATCAATAAAAGGACGAGTATACTGCGCGGCAGTCCGTTCTGTCTTACTTTACGGCAGCGAAACATGGCCTTTAAGAGTAGAAGACACCCGTAAGCTACAAGTATTTGACCACAGATGCCTTAGAAATATTGCTGGCATCTGCTGGGATCACCGGGTAAGTAATAGTGAGGTTAGACGCAGGGTATTAGGGAATGATGGTAAATCAGTTGATGAGGTTATGAATCTTCATCGACTGAGATGGTTGGGCCACGTATTACGTATGCCTGAACACCGATTACCACGACGTGCAATGCTAACCGGTGTAGGGGATGGTTGGAAGAAAGTTAGGGGCGGCCAAACCAAAACGTGGCATCAGTGCTTGAAGTCACTAACTTCTAGTCTGAGCCATGTTGGTAGATGCAGACTACTTGGTTGGGGTCCGCGTGACTATCGTAACCAATGGTTGGAGACTCTTGGTGACATGGCTCAGAATCGATCACAATGGCGTCGGTGTATACACTCTTTGTCTTCCCTTAAACTAAGAGATTAAAATCACTTCATACGAACTAATTCTTCCTTCCTATACTATATCCTTATTGCAACCTTTGACCTAACCACTCCTATGAATCCGGTGTTCATCTTGTTGTGCTAATGAGGTATGGCAACCTGGACCGATGCACATATGTGCCTGGTCCTACGTTGTAGCTGACTGACTGACTGACTGATTTTGGTGGAATAGTTGGAATCCAAGACGTACACTCTCGGTATTAATAAATTTGTTTGCATTGAATATGGTGCCTAATAGATGATGTTATGTACCTTAAGCCTTTTTGCTAATCATTGGTCATTGCTCACTATAAGCTATAGTATAATAGTGTAGTATAATAATATTTCCCTTGTACAAATTTGCTGCAAGTGTCAAACAGATAGAAATAAAAGAATATACGATATTTTTAATTTTGTCTATCAATGTCCATAATATTCACTGTATACGCTTGTAAATTATCTACTCATTATATACTTCATATTATATGTTGAGATACTTTAACACATTTTATTAACTAATTAACTGTTTCCTTATCAATATTTAGGTTGGAGTACCGTTATTTTTCGCATTCCGTTTAACATTCCCAACACCAGTAACAAAATTCAATTTAGTTCATTTACGTCAATTAGTAATGAATGGACCAAATAACTATCCAGGAGCTACAAGTATTCGGTTTTCAAATGGTATCATTACTATGCTGCCGCCAAATGATACTCCACAGGCTAAAAAAAAACGTGAAATGTTAGCTTTGCGGTTAAAACCACTTATTTCGGGTAAAGATAACATACCTATCGTTGTAAGTAACATGCTCTTTTTTCTAAAGAAAAATATTCATTCCACTGTTTCTATCCAATAGTATACAATACATTTTGCATTACATTTTCTCAATTTTACTTCAATTCTTCCCAGGTTAATCGTCATCTACTTGATGGTGATATGCTTATTATGAACAGACAACCAACCCTTCATCGGCCTTCAATGCAAGCACATCGTGTTCGAATAATAAAGTGTTCTGGAGCAAAAACTCTCCGATTACACTATTCAAATTGTAAAGCTTACAATGCAGATTTCGATGGGGACGAAATGAATGGTCATTTTGTTCAAAGTTATGCAGCAAAAGCTGAACTTGAAACATTAGGTAAACTAATCACTTAACTTTGTTCTGATCTGATCTGCAGTACTATCAAGTTTTAGTAAATTTGGATTGTGGCTAGCAGTGTCATCCAGGACCCGCGGTTCGTCAGTTGGATGTACTTGCAACCCAGTGTTGATGTTCACACCCGGACTCAACATTAGGATCTTGGTACATTCGGTTGATAAGTTACAAATAGAACGAACGCGCATCCTGGATTTCACTAATAGCCACAGCCCAACTTTATTAAGACTTGTGTTTAAAATACAGTATTAAGGTAATCCCCTCAGGATTTACTTATGCCAATAAAGACTGATCAATTTCAAGAAAACTGGTAATCGTGTATATACCACATTTGATCAGTGTGACTTGCTTACGGTATTAGTTCTAATTTAATGGTTTTTGATTTATGAGAATGTATTTATTGATCCCTGGTATGATATAAGTTATCTACGTAGATCTCGTAATACAATAGTCTTTTGTTATACATTAGTTTAGTTTAGTTTAAATTATTTCACTAAATAGACTATCGCTTACTTACATTCAGAAACACTAGTTTCGTATGTTTCTTTTTTTTCAAAAGTCGTCAGTTATGTTTCAATTTAGACTCGAAAAGGTGCGAACCAATTTTTTGATTGAATCTTCATTCAATGAACTTCTTCCCATCATTTATTATTGACAACTATCTCCAAATTTTAAAAGAAATTCACTCATTATCCGTGTCCACTGCCAAAACTTGTTTCTTCCATAATCTGTAATAATTTTTTATCGTGTTATATCTTTTCAGAAAGCATTTCCTACTGATATTTGTTTATTTATGCTCATTGTTTTGTGTTATTATTTTTTATTGAATTTGTGTTTAGCTTCTGTTCCACATCAATATTTAGTACCTAAAGATGGAACACCACTTGCTGGGCTTATACAGGACCATGTTATAGCAGCAGTTAAATTAACAATGCGTGATCGGTTTTTCGAGCATGCTGATTATTTGGATCTTGTATATCATGCTCTTCGACCTTTATTTGCTATAAACAGACAAACATCTTCGGGTCCACCATCTATTATAACAGTTAAGCCTGCAATATGTTGGCCGAAATGTCTCTGGACTGGAAAACAGGTACTTTGGTCTATATAATGCTTTTAGCACGTTTTTTGTATTGATTTCCCCCCTCCTATTTCATCATCATTTAAACCATTCATGTTACTACTTACAAATTTACTTGTCAGCTTTACAAAGGTTTCAATATTACTTGATTAGTCTCATTTTGACGGAGCTGGTGTGCAATTATTGTTAACTTGATAACTGACAACTAAACAATGATTCATCAGATTACTAATTTAGGATAAGCACACCCTTATTGTCTACAGTAATATATTCAATTTTGTTAATAATTATATGAAGAATTAAGTGACCTTTATTTAGTAGAAGTTTAATATATTATTATCTCTGGATGATATTATTCACTTTCGAATTCTAGAAACTTCTCTAACGCCTCTGATAAATATTAGCTATCTGTGCAATTCCGTCATGTTATTCAAGATGTTAAATCTATAAAAAAAATCACTTGACTGTTATTTTTGGAAATTTGGATTTAATCTTTTTTTGCGCCAATAAGTCTTCACTGCAAGAAGAAGCAAATGTGTATCTTAGTTATTTGGTATATTTGAATTATTTTTTTGGTCGCTTTCAATATGTCACGGGCATCGAATACAACTGAACAAGCATATCTGCTCGTCTAACAATAACAAAGGTGAGATCGACTTGGTCAGTATATGCTTTGAGATGGTATCAATATGTTGTTTCATTTAGTAAGAAATGATAGCCGATTCACTGACATCACTCAGTGATTATGTAGTCGTAAATAACTTAGAACCAAGTGGGTGATCTCATCACGCTTGATAAGATAAAAACTCTACCAATACGTTCAGATGATTATCTAATATTTATATTTTTTCTCTTTTTCAGGTTATTTCAACATTGTTAATAAATCTCACACCTTCAGGTTTATTACCACTAAATGCTACCCTTTTAGGTCGACGAACTAAAGCTGAACTTTGGTCTGGAGTTGCTCCCGGTGAACCAACACCATTATCCGATGTAGATTTAGTTATATGTGATGGTTATCTTGCATCTGGCATGTTAGACAAATCACATATCGGTTCAAGCAGTACAGGTTTGATACATTGTGTATATGAAGCATATGGTCCTGAATCTGCTTCATGTTTATTAAATGGGATTAGTTTACTAGCCAATAGATTTTTAAAATTCATTGCCTTCACAATGGGTTTGAAAGATATTTTACTTTCACATAGAGCAGATGAAGAAAGACAACGTCGTTTCAGTAATCTTAAAGATCTTGGCCTCTGTGCTTTTGCAGACACATTCAGTTTAAAACCAGACGAACTAACCGAACATAATGTGAAACGTTTATATCGTCATGCACAATTCCCTTCATCTACTGACCAGTCTTCTCAAAAGCGTCTTGCTCAGTTGGACATGGCAATTAAAGATCGACTAAAAAGGGCGCAAGATGCAGTATGTGACTCTGCGATCCCAGGAGGCTTATATGTCGGTTTTCCAGAGAATAATTTACAACTCATGGTTCATGTTGGTGCTAAAGGTGGTATGGTAAGCAAGCGTTTAAATTTTTATTACATGCCATAAATACCCAGTTCATTGTAAAATAAAGCTAGAAACAGTGATTAAATTGTCTTCGTGGATTTTATACTCGTTAAAAAAGGGCAATCAACAAGTATATAGGAGTTTTTATACAGAAAGTAAAAATATCGGGCTAAGGATATCTCAAAACATTTACAAATGTCAATGTTCGCAAGTTACTTTCGATGATAACAGTTGAGTAAAATTTACAAACAATGCTCAGGCTACTTTTAAATAGATAGTAGTAGTTTCACAGATTGAAATCATGAGTCAGTTGAAGCTAGACCACCATAGAAAACCTGGAAGCACTGGAAGGCCGTTTCGTCCTAGTATGGGACTCCTCAGCAGCTCGCATCCATGATCCCGCGCACCGCGGGGTTCGAACCCAGGACCTACCGGTTTCGCGCACGAGCACTTAACCGCGGGGTGCGGGATGGTGGATGCGCGTTGCTGAATTGTCCTGTACTAGGACGAAACGGCTGTCCAGTGCTTCCAGGTTTTCCATGGTGGTCTAGCTTCAAATGACTCACGATTTCAATCTGTGAAAATTTCTAAAATCTCCACCAACCCCTTCAGATAGTAGTAGTGTTAAATGACTAAAGTTTGGTGGAATTTTGAAATTTTTCCGATGGTACTCCATAATGTTCTGAAAATTTTGTTGATAATATTCTGGTACCTAGGCGCTACAACTTTCTTTTGCTAAAAGTAATATCCACGACTTCTGAAACTTAACTTTTGTACAGCAAATTTTGTTTATGCTTCGAGCTGATCCTATGACTAAATTAATTTCTAATTTTGCTGTTCAGATATTGATAATCGATATCTGTTTGAATACTTTTGTTATTTGTACGCTTCCTTCCTTATGTTTTACTATGCCAGACCACTTTAAATAGTTTTTCCCCATCTTCACTGTGTTCTCAAAAGTTTATCTTTAATTTTATCCATTTTTTATTTTTATTTATCATTTATTTCAAAGGTTAATGCTCAACAAATGTCTGTCGCTCTTGGTCAGATTGAATTAGAAGGTCGTCGTGTCCCACTAATGCTAAGTGGCAAAACGCTACCTTCATTTCCACCTTACGATGTTCGTCCACGTGCTGGTGGTATGTGTACTGCTCGATTTCTCACTTCACTACCTGCACAAGAGTTGTTTTTCCACTCGATGGCAGGTAGAGATGGTCTTGTTGATACAGCTGTAAAAACTAGTCGGTCAGGTTACTTACAGAGGTCAGCTATTAAACATCTAGAGGTTAGTTTTCTATATGGACTACAATAACTCATCACTTTGCTTATTTAAGGTAATCTTACAGAATCTGTAAAATTCTATGTGCTAGTTCCTATTATCCAGTAGTGATTAATAGCTAACAGTTCCTCAAATTTAGCTTCTTTTTCGTGATATTTAGGTGAAAAGTCACTATACAGAGAAAAAATAAGGAATCAGAGTTGATTCAAGACTACTAGTTCTGGTTGACGCATCGTTGGTTTAGCACAGGGACAAGGTTATAGAAGTAGGTATTCTGATGGGCGATTTTGTCACGTGATAATTGACGAGCCAAAGGATATAACAGTTCCTCCAATTGTCCAGTGCTTCTTTAGTTTCAGTCTCATCTTGGAAACCACCAGGTAGTGATCTGAAGCTATGTCAGTTGCTGTCCCAGTTCTCACGTCTTCTATTGACCTGGATTTTTTTACTGATGTAAATATGATCTATCTGGTTCTCTGTATTGTGATCCACTGGGACCCATATCGCTTCATATATGCGTTAATGGGGGAATATTGTGCCACCTACAACCATTTTGTTGAATGTATATAAATTTGCGAATCTGTCACCATTCTCGTTTCTTTCTCCCAGTCAGTCATGTCGTCTCATGATATCTTCACACCCATTGTTGTCCATTTCGACCTTGACGTTTAGGTCTCCCGTCAGGATGGCCATAGTCATTTTCTACGGGACGAGATTACTGACCACCTTCCTCCTTTACCCGGGTCGGGACCGTCAGAAACCCTAGAGGGGCTACATGTGGTTATTAATTCACCACTATAAGATGAAATTGTAAAGATAAATGACAAGGAAGTAAAAGTAGTAACAGTGTTGGTGGTAGTAGAAAAGACTACACATAGAAAATCTAATTCGATGAGGATTAATAGGCACCCATAATAAAAAAGCACGAAATCTAATGAAAGGCAAATATCGCATATATCTATGGTATTCCAATTGATTCAGAGCTATGTCAATCAACGTATCCAGCATTTGGATACGATAATCCTACAGAATCATAATCTAAGATTACTTTCACCAACAAGTTTTTCATTTTACAGCTTACTATTCATCTCTTTCACTTAATGTTGGTTATTCATATTTATAAGTTTCGTTTTCTTTATTATTTATACACGAACACACTTTCCACAGGATTTAAGCATAAGTTATGATGGAACAGTGAGAGATTCAGGATCTAATATAATTCAATTTCGATATGGAGACGATGGAGTGGATGTATGTCAAGCTGGATTTTTACAACCTATTGGTTTACATTTCTTCGCTGATAATGTAAATCTAATGAAAATGCGTTGGCATTCTGATAAAATCAATACTGATAATCCAGCATATGCTCATTTGTTTGAAAAAAACACACTTCCTAAACCTATACAAATAATGGCAGACCAAGTTGGTATTAGGAGACAATGTGTAAGTTTAAAGTATAATTCAATAGTATTGTTATGAATTGTTTTTTGTAAATTTGTGCATTCAACTTTCAAAGGTCGATAACATAATACTTTGATTGTTCTGACTTATGACATCAATTATTATTCGGATGATAATGAAACATACTCAATTCTCTCTTATAGAAGACTTATTCATTTGATATTGTCTTATTTTACTCACGGTACATAGTTTTTAATGGTGTTTTTAGTATAAGTTTGTACGTAAATTATTAAGTGTATTGTCGACGTTTGTGTGGATCCATCTGTGATCATCTATTCTATTATTAACGCTTGGATTATAGTAGCTAAACAAAATAACAAATACATAGTTAGGAAATATAGGTATGTATCATTTCATAGACAAAGTGAATGATTTGTTTTTCATTACCATATAAGAGTTGTCAATATAACTGCTTTTTGAGTTCACTTGTATAATGAAAAAGATTTCTGTTTCTGATGGAGGACAAGATCTCAGCTCATTGGAAATTGAATGGTCTGGACAATTTTTATCATCCAGCCGTTTGTACTATTTAATCATGTTTATTTTCTTATTAGCATCTATGTAAACATGTTATTTTGTTAAAATAAAATCATATTTTGGCCATTAGTTTGGTCTTATATTAGTTTAATTGGAGGCCTTACACCAATAATTCGGTCTAATGAACTGCCATCGCTTATCCAGATTGCATCATCGTCTATTATCAACCAATCAATCAATATTGTATCCATTAATTTAACCATCAAATTCTTAAATGTTTGTTCATTAAATTATAAAATCTATTCTATAAAATTGTGTAGGCAAATTATTTAAACTTAGAATAACTTAAAGATTATAACAACAATAGTATATCGATATTTTTATAATACGATTAGTAGAGAACCATTAAATACCGATGCTAAAGTTCTCAAAACAATAATACAGTATGAATATTTTGTAAATGTGTAACATCTACTGTGAAAGGAGTTTTGCACCCATTCTAATCTAATGTAATATACAATAGAAAATTGTAATTTTAGTGTTTTATTCACTTCTCAGTTTTTGTTCCTAATAGATATCAATGAGAAAAAAGTATACTCAATCTTTAATGAGCAGTAAAACAGATCGCTTTTAACGTTATTGTTGATCCATACTGTGTACTTTATTTTGATTCAGCACTAGAAACAATGAATATCCTTTTTTATGACTGTACAAATTGAGAAATAACCAATGACTCGTGTTTGTTTTAAGGTTGTTCCAGTTTGTTTTTGTAATCATATTACATTGATTAATTTATTTCCATATTTTAATGCTAACCTTCAAAACTGTGTACCATCATATTAAGTTATATTATTTATGATATGAGGTTAATTTATTTGTAAAAGGTCATCTTGACTTTAATTTTCACTTCTAGATCATTCAAACTTTTCTTGATGATTCATGTGTATGTGCATTTGATTTCGTGTTGTTTTGTTTATGATCTAGTTTAATATCAATAATTGCTCTACGTGGATTTTTCAATGGAATCTAATTTTTTAATTTCAACTTGTTTGACATTTTAGATTCTACATAAAACTGTATCAAAGCATAAACTTGTCAAGCTTCTCAACAGTAGTAAGATGGCTTATAAAGCATTAAAAATAATGGAAACAGAAGAGAAAGCATCCGGAAAAGATAAGATAATGAATGAAATAATCCCTGAACCACCATGTGCTACAGCGGCTGAATTAAGAGATTTATGTTTAGCCAAAATTATTAACGCTCAAGCACCACCTGGTGATCCTGTAGGTTTATTGGCTGCACAATCAGTTGGTGAACCTTCTACTCAGATGACATTGAATACTTTTCATTTTGCTGGACGTGGTGAAATGAATGTAACTCTGGGAATACCACGCTTACGAGAGATCCTCATGTCCGGATCATCCAATATAAGTACACCATGCATGGAAGTTCCTATATGGCCTACCAAAGAAGCTCAACAACTTAGTGAACAAATAGCTAAGAAATTTTATAAACTGAAATTATCTGAGGTGATTCAAACAGTTTTTGTTTTATTTTTTCAATGTAATATTTGTTTATATATATATATATATAAATGATACAAATAACTGCCCTATATACATGTATGTTTATATTGCAGACTTTAAAATTACCTATTGGTCAAAAAGTGAACTATGTATCCGATTCGTGTACATTTGAATTTAATTTACAACCGAAATCAGTCTATTCTGATCACAGTCATGTAACACCTGTTCGTGTTTTACGTTTTCTTGAACGTATTCTATTCCCAGATTTAGCTCATCGTTTAAATGAAGAATTAAAAGATCAAGGAAAAACTAGGTATGTAGGAATTATTCTTTTTTCTTCAATATTTAATTGTTATTTACTTTTTGATATATTTTACCAGCTTGTTACTTGTTCACTAAGGAAAAACTCTTTCTTTTTCGCCTATGATTATTATTTTAAACACTGAAAAATGAAAATCTAAGTAATAGTTTGTTTAAATTTACATATTTTTTGCATAGACTCGAAAGTAGGGTTGTATATCATTATAACAAGTTGATTCCAGCGAAATTAACCTTTATTGTTGACAGATTGTACAGAATCGTTTTAAATTGTAACAACGTATATAAAATAGACGTTGGCTCTGATTAACTTTCTCATAAATAGCTTATTTATCGTTTAATTATACACAAAATATAATTTAACATCTCTACAGTTATACAAAAAGGGGATAAAAACGTAACTACCCAATTGTTTTTATTTAGTTGTGAATAATTCAAACCAGATTTTACTCCATTTGCTACTTTCAAGATAATTAATTATGTCCTGCAAATATTCGTTTATTCATTATGTACGTGTGTGTGTGTGTGTGGAGTACTTCAATGAATTTTTAATTGAAGCTTCGTCATATTTCTAAAAAGCAAATCTCTTTCTTGGTTATCTTTTGGTTGTCTTTACCTTTATTTTTTTAAAATACACTTGTTATTGGATAAATATGTATCATAATAATTGGATCGTTATGACGAATCAGATAAATTTCTATTATTCACACTTAGATAACTTACATTTTCTGATTATTCAATACTCGATGTTCGGTTAATTGTGTCTGTGTTTAACAGCATGTAACCAAATAAATCAGATAATGAAATTGTTTGTTTTATTTAATGATACTAGATTTTATTATACTTGAGACATAAATTAACATGTTATATTTTCTCTAAATGAGCTACATATGTTTATTTTGATATGAGATATAAGATATCTTTAATTGGAATCATAATAACAGTATTTACTATCCTTGAATGCGGATTTAAGTTTTCCAAACAGCCTTAGTTTTCTTGAAAAAGCTTGGACCAGATTGACTGGCGAAACGCTGGATTTACTTTAAATCCTTTCGCTGAGATTTTACAAATACATTCTTCCTCTTTTTATAGCCTTAGTTTTCTTATTTCAACTATTCTTGAACATTAATATCGACATATGACGACAGACAGTATAGCTGAAAATCAGTTATACAGCTTTTGAAATATTCAGCTTTTTATTTTCGTGTACATACCAAGTATATTGTCATTTTGTTTATTTCCTATTCACTATTCAACTTATTTATATTTCAGTTGCTAGCTTGTCTTATTCTTTTGGAATTCCTCTCAATGTGACATTCTTGAAATGTAGAAACATAAATGAATTACCTAATGTATCAGTATTTTTAATCTTTGCTAGTTATATTTGTTTACCTTTTTCGATAGCTTTAAAAATTATGAAAGTCTTTTTATATTTATACTCTTATATTAAAATCGAAAATGGATGATTCTTCATGGAGAACATCCGTCGATCACTTTTAATGAATATAGGGTGTCAAATTAGCCAGACAGTGTTTGTATTTGAACCAAGTGTATAGGATTTTAGAATTCTTTATAATTTTGCTTAGTGTATAATAAACAATAGTCAGGACTACTATTATTTATTATTTTATTTATTCAACGAACAATTTACAGTACCAACAATAATCTCATCAACGAAGTAGAAATATTGAATAGTACACTAATAACGAGTCGTTACGGCACTTTTGATTATAGAACTCCAACCTTTGTAAACAAAACAATCTTGTTCAACTACTAGGAAACTACGATTTTACAACAAACGGGATCAAATCCAACTAAACAAACGAAGCCTGATTAATATTTCTGTGCAAACTAAGTCGATTTTGGTTGTTACTTTTGATTGGGATTATTCGTTTGAACTATGAAGACTAACAATATATTTGTAATATCCTAATGAGTAGAAAAATTAGATTTTCTGACTTTTCGTGACTCAGTGTAAGCCACTTCCTCAGAGAATAAATTTATCTAATTTTTCTACTCATTGGGATATTACAAGTACATTATTTATTTATACCAATCTACCCAATGCTCAATTTATTCGAAATTATCAAGTCAAACCTTGGTGACGATACCTATAAAGACAAACGTTTAATAGATCATAATACACATACATAATAATATCTTTTACCACAACTGTTGTTGTTAGCCACTCATAAAAAGTGTATGATTTAACCACCTTTTTTAGTGATAATTTTTCCACTCTAATAGTTAATAATAACTTCTTAACTGCTTCCTAGACCCGCAGGGTTCTTCTAAACCTCAAACTTAGACGACAAACAAAAGGTGTAAAGTGAGGGCAAGCTTTACTTCAAGGTTAGTATATGCACATAAAATAAGAATGTTTCTAGGTTTACATGTAACCATGACATTCTAGAAGCTCCAGGATTTATGCTAAATTTAGTAACAAATTAGATAGTCATATAATCCGAGAGCGACATATAATCTGTTGATCTTCTGATAGTTTCCGAGAGGTTTCTATTTGGTGCTGATCGAACAAACCATATATTTAACCCAGGCACCATTATTGTTGTTCTGTATGTGTCTGTTCATTAGTTCTTCCGTGTTGATACTGTCCGAATGTGAATTTTATACCTTTTGTTAATTTATTTCAGTCTCATAAAAAGCTTTGCCTTATCTGCTATGGCTCGTCAGCAACAAGCTGGTCAAAATAAAAACTCGGAAGAACCAGCTGAGGATGCTGATATTGTGAATCAACCAGGTATTGGTCGTACTCGTGCACAAGATGAATGGAATGAAGATGATGGACATGAAGTAGGTTTGTATTTACGGAAACTTCAGTATGCCTAGTTTCATTGTTAGGATTTGAACTTTGTTGTCTATATGACTAGTTAATTGGACATCTAAATCTTTCATTTTGATGTGGTTAGAATTCCCCCATTCAAATCTTGATCAGAATTGCCGACGTCGAAGATACGATTCATGGAAATATGAATTGGTGAAATAAAAAAAATTATGCGGGATTCAGAAGCATAGAATCCAGGAGAGACAAAGAATGGATGTGATAAGTTTTCTAATTGATCGCTAGATTTAGTTCCCCCAGGCTAAATCTACACAGCTACTCGAATACGATAGAAAAGGCGCGAAATATGGGAGAAACGCTTTAGTCCAAAGGTTCGTTTATATACAGAAAATCTAGGTTATAGTGTTTTGGATGGTCTTAGGATTGCAGAAATATCTGGAAGGCTACTAAATATAGCAGCAGTATACGTAATCATCCAATCAGAAGCTCGACATGTGACTTGTTACTTTCTATATATTTGTGGCAAGACTTCTGTTGAATGCTGATTGGACAAGATGTCTCTTAGCTTTTCCAGAGCCTTTTTGGCTTTCTTTCGTGGAATTTTCTGGATCTCCCCAACAGGATGCATCTTCACCATTGCAAATGATTTTGAGTCATGCTATTCTAAGTCTGTTCACTGGTTAGAGTAATCACTCCTTCCCCAACCAAGTAGCCTACACTTACTAACATAGGCCAGTCCAATTGGTGATGACCTCTGTTATGATTTTATGTCCGGTTTTTTATCACGTGATCTATCCACCAATCGAAATACGACTTATGCAAACCTTAGCACTATGCCAAACCAATGACGTCCGACCGGTATGAGCAGCCTAGCGTCCTTATTGGTCCTATGTTCGCCTAGCCTGTCCGCTTGAGTCCAGAACACAATACCAGCCTCTGCAATATGAATCGAACCAAATCATTTATTTCAAACATACTCGGTCTATATATCAACCAGACAGACCACAACGTATCATAAAATAGAAAATAACATTTGTACACAATAAAGCCAAAAAGTGGCTGTGAACGTGGGAGGCAGTAGTCAATAAACTGAACATAGCTTAAGAACCGTAAATCGTACAATAATAAATTATAGGTTAAAATAAAGCTTATAAATAGAGGAATATAAATATACATAATCTAATTGTTGAATAGTTATGCCATAAGAATATATAGATAATATTAGTCAATTAATATGTCTCAGAAGTTACTCGTGATTTAATCTTCGCTCGGATATAACAACTTCATGGAATGATGCCAGGTTTCGGTTTGGCAGATTCTGATATTCTCCCAGCCTACTCCTACACTAAACAGCATCGCTTGTCGAGGTAGGCGGTGGTTGGACATACGTACGATGTGTCCTACTCACAACTTTCTATAAAGTGGTGGTGTTGTCTAAGAAATTGAGAGGACGAAAAGCGAATTTCCAGCACCTTAATCGGGTTGGTGGATACACATGATCGACCTAGGGGAGTTGGGAAACCCTGATTCCAAACCAGTGTTTCCCATCACCTTCAAGATCCTAAGGAAACAAATGACGTATGAACCTATTCTTGGTCACCGGATACCATTGGACTGAATCTCCTAAAGTTGTTGCACTGCCTTGTGGATTAGACCATCAGGTCAAAGGCTTAGGATGTGACCCCCTAAGAAAACTACCTGCTTTGATTTGGGCACAAGGACAGTAACCCAGCCCTCATAAAAATCGATTGATTTGCGTGACTCATTTGTATTTGGTGCCCCCTTGTACCAAATTTTTATGTGTTTAAATAAATAAATAACTTCAAACACAACTGTATCATCTCCACATTCTAAGTAAACAAGTGAATCTCCTGGTAGAAGATCAACCCCTGAAAAGTCAGAGGACGGAAGTGTTATCTCATTGAATTATATTAGATCCTGAATCTCTCACTGTTCCATCATAACTTATGCTTAAATCCTGTGGAAAGTGTGTTCGTGTATAAATAATAAAGAAAACGAAACTTATAAATATGAATAACCAACATTAAGTGAAAGAGATGAATAGTAAGCTGTAAAATGAAAAACTTGTTAGTGAAAGTAATCTTAGATTATGATTCTGTAGGATTATCGTATCCAAATGCTGGATACGTTGATTGACATAGCTCTGAATCAATCGGAGTACCATAGATACATACACTCTTTGTCCTCCCTTGTATCTTGTTTTTTTAAAATTATCTTTGATAAGTATGCTAAGTGAACTCACAATCTAGCTTCTTAACCGTGTCTGATAACCCCTGGGTTTAATCTAAATAGCAACACAAGAGCAAAAGCTTGAAATATGAAATAAACGTTTTTCTTCATGGTTATTTTTAGTTACATACGACCATGATTTTTCCGGGATTTTCTGGAATCGTACTAAATATACTAGTAGTTTTGGTTAATATCCAATCAGAGATGCTGCGCGTGACTTCACTTCCTATATGTTTCTGAAAAGCTTCTATTCAACGCTGATTTCGTAGTGTATACAACCGTTTTCTATGCCCTTTTTTTGAGAAATACTTTGAAACTTTTTAACAACTTTACTCTTTTCATATGGGAATCCATTCATCCTTATCTAATTATACTGTCTATGTGTAATCTACTCTACTGATATTGTTACTACTCTTATTTCTTTGTCATTTGTCTTAACAATTTCATCTGATCGTGGTTATTTGGTGTGAAAAATTAAACTGATGCACAAGTGTGCCGAATTTTACGTCGCCTATGATTTGATCACCTTATACTAAAATAATACATTAAATGAACTACTAGTAAGAATTTTTGCCATTGAAATTTGAATATAATGTTTATTTAATTCGTTGTCAAACCCGACCTCTATACCTATCCAGTTACCCTTTTATGTTCATATCCAACAATCTTCCACCTCCTTTTCAATTATCCTAGAAACTCTTCACCACTTCGTATTATTTGTTTGAGTCACAGTTAAATGTGTTTTACATTATAAGTAGCTTTATGTTACACTGCCAGCATATTTCAAAAGTCAAATAAAACATTCTCCAAATCGTTTTTGTGTATAAACCATGGTTTTTCAGAAAAAAGTTTTTCTTTAAAATTATATCAACAGTCAAGTGCTTTCTTAAAAAACCAGTTCATATTTAGTTATACAAGCAAACGATAGTAATTGAAGTTACTATTGGGAAATATGGTTCAATAAAAAGTGGGGTTTTTTGTTTTCTATTCATCCTGAAATAACCTAAATCAAAATTTTACTACTAATTGAAAAGTCTACTTATATTCTCATACATTTTGTGGCTTATTTACCATATTTTTAGGTAAGTTATTTAAAAATTTACGGTTAGCCAGTGGTTGCTTTAAAATACTTTCCTAATGAATTATATCTCTTAAATGACTGAGTAGTAGTTGTTATAACATCACACAGTATGTGGTGTCTTATTTATAGGCACTGACATATTAATCTCTACTGCTCCACTTGATACTATTGAATTATATTTTCAAATCCTAATGTTACCCCTAGTGCAGTGGTGTCTCAGTGGCTAAGGCGTTCAGACTTTAGCCATTGGATCTTAGGTTTGATTCCCGCTCCACCTAACCTCGGTTTAAACAACTGGGTATTTTCACTATCCTACACTTGAAGCCATTTACTCGGATCTGTACCTGGCTAGTGAGTTAACTGAATTCAAATTATTACCCTTATCTAACCTCGTACTCATAAATGAGACTTCTTCTATACTTTTATTTTTTGCCCAATACAGTAGTGAATAATTGTTGTAACGACTTAGCAGATACTCATGACCGTCAACATTTTCAAATTTCTAAAAATAATCATGAATCAATTTGTCATCAACTATAATGGTTATTGTCTCTCCCTCCATCTCGGTCTCTTACCTCGAAATAAAAGTCTATTTTTAAGATATGATTTTTGATCTCTATATTTCCAGGCTATCAGACGCCGGCGTCTCGAAGCAAATGCCGAAGAGGAAGATATTACTGGTGGTGATAATAATCGTCGTAAAAATGGATCTGATCTGGATGAATTGGTCGATTTAGACTTAGACGATGAATATGATGCTGAAGCAGCCGAACTACATGAAATTGGACAAGATCGTGAGAAAGATGACGGTGACGATGAACAACAAGACGATAATGGTAAATGGCCTTGGAATGAATTATCTCCATCAAGTAAATTAAAAATGCTTCTTGGCAATCCTTCAAGATCTGAACATAAAACAACTACTTCAAAAGGTACAAATTCTGATGAATTTATCCAATGGACTGGTGATCCTGAATTAAATCAGTCAGATGTAGATGATGAACGGGAATTAATCCAAGAAAATATGGAACGAAATATAGAACAAGAGAATGCTATAAGTCATGATGAAGCTCGCAAACGGATAACGGTAATTCATTTTTATTAGTATTTGTATCAATACTAGTACACTGATATTATAAGTTACAATAATTTACAAACTATTATTGGTCACTACTTTCTAGAGATATGTTCTCCTTACATTTGCTACTTAAAATGTATTTTATAACTATTTGGATAGTTTTACATTTTTACAGTTATTTTATTTCAACTGACTGTTTTATGATCTCTTTTGTCTTGTTTATTTCCTACTTTGTTACTTGTTCCAGGATTGTACGAGGTTGTGAATCGTAACTATTTGTTTACCTCACAATCCAGGTTTTAATTTGCTCTTAATAACACATCAACACGTTGCATTCTTTCAAATGAATTCTCACTTTCGATGCACCATTCAATTCTTCCTCTATCAAACACTAAATTTTCCGCTATACGTAGGGTTCAGAATAGTCATTTTTACACTAATTGACTTTTAAAAGTTGTTCTTTTAAAAAATAGTTAAAACAGTCACTATTTGTTCGTTTATGTTCAAGGGAATATATTAAAATTCATTAAGATCAGTGCATAATGTTGCGAACGTAGTTAATTATGTCTCATCTACGATTTTTGTTAGCTTAGTTGATAGCTTTTTTATTTTCAAATTTAAATTCAACCCATCTTTTTTGATACTAATCTATTTGGAAGGTGCTTACACTGCAATATAGTTAGGAACAAATTAGGCGTTACAGTTTCATCCAATTATCTGAATGTTACTAACGTAAATTAAGCCACCTATCCCTCTCGGACCCCTAGGTCAATAACCAGATATCTCCAAGTAGCTTTGCCCTGGGTTCTTTCTAGCTCTTGTCAAGTGCTATTCGTTTTTATATGCTTGCCTCCAAGTCCATGTACCATGTGTTTTTGGCCTGTTTTTTTCGTCTGATCTTCGGAATTCCAAGATAAGGCTTGCTTTGTGATTCAGTTCGATTATTTCCGTAAAATGAGACCTATTCACACCCAACATCTTTTTCTAATTTTCTTCTCTGATGGGAGCTTGTTTGCTCTCATCTACTGTCGATGGTCCCTGACCAATAACTCTAGAGTATCTTATGTAAACAGCTATTTATAAATACCTATACTTTCTTATGATGATAGTTCTGGTAGCTCTCTAAGTTTTAGTTCCATAAAACAGAACCTGTACAATTTGTGTTGAAGGTCCTGATTTTGGTGTTAGACGACAGTCCTTTTAAGTTCCAGGTATTCGATTACAGGGATATTACCGTTACTTTGCCGCCTCTTGCCTTAATATCAACATCACATCAATCATGTTTATCGATGGTGCCGCCCTAACTACATAAAGGTTTAGGATCGACAGTAACACCAGAGGAGCTCCAGGCAGGCTATGTAATTGAATATAGTGTAATATATTCAGGTATCAGAACTTACTGTTGATTATTCGAAGAATGCCATTTGCTGAGGTAAATGATTTCCATGGGGTCATGTTTCTTGATAACATTACTTATACTTCCACGCCAGCTAATATGAAGTACAATTCCATGCATTATTTCTTCAAAATCCAGCCATCACTTTGTTGTATATCAGACTTACTGAGTATATATTCACTACTACTAACCAACCTATTGTCCCTACTACTCACTGATGAACATGTATATCAGTTACTTCAGTTTAGCAGTGATCTAATGGTGAAGGCGCTTATCTTTCAAGCGCTAGGTCATAGATTCGATTCTCGCTTCACCTATTTCGGCTTTGGCCATCCGGATAGTAATATTGGTCTTCACTCGTAAAGTGTGGTTCAAAACTGAGCAGTTGTATTTGTACTTCGGCAATGAGTTACAATTTATATTATCAGAATGGGGATTTGTGGACATTGTAGTAATTTTAATAGTTTAATTCATGTGTCAATCTAGGCTAAAACATCATTGAAAACCTGGAAGTACTGAACTGCCGTTTCGTCCCAGTACGAGACTCCTCAGTAGTGCGCATCCACAATCCCTCACACGGGACTCGATCCCGGGGCCTTCTGTCTCGCACGCAAACGCCGAGCCCCTAGACCACTGAACGAGCATCTAACAGTGTTTAATTTCGATTGCCCCATTGTCTTGCGCAACCCTTCATCCATTGTCCGAAGTGGATAACTGTCTCCACCCAAGACGGATCGGACTCCACTGGTTATGGATTTTCACTAGAACTCTGGGAAGCATATTTTGAAGCTAGTGACTAGTGAACACATGATTATTATCAGTATGGTGGTTTGTGCATGTTAGACCACCATTGAAAACTGTCCAGTGCTTCCAGGCTTTCAATGGTAATCTAGCTTATATCAACTGGTGAATCTATTTATCAAAATTACTACAATCTATATTACCAAATATTTTCAATCAGAACCGTGCTATTATAAAAACGAATATATATATATATATATATATATATATATACAGTTGAGATTCCTAAGATTTCCCCATGTGAATCATGTCTATCATTATCCATTTTCTGTCTATCGATTTTTGAATAACTTCGCATGTGGTTTTATATATAAAGAAGTTGCTGTCGTTTATTTATTTTATTTTAAAAATGCCCATATTGGGAATTAGAATAACAAATATAAGCGAACAATATTGTTTTCGATTAGATCCTCATCAGGCTTTACTCTAATATACAGTAATATTTATATGCATATAAGAAATTATTAAATAAATCAAGGCAGTTGATGATTCAGTGATAACAGTACGATAGATCACATAAATAAACATAATAAGCAGAAGATTTTATTCATTAGTATTATCCATACCCTTTCTTCACTCCCACCTTTTTTTTCTTTATCAAATACATACACTTCATTGTCCCATTATTCGAACACTTCTTATTACATAATCCTACAATTTTTTATGAATGTCTATATTTTCCAAGTCATTGATTTACCCTCTTATTATGAAACATTAATTCAATCCTTTATTATTCTTATCACAACTAGTACACCTGTCATCACGTTATCAATTTCTACTTTTCATTTATTATGTTTATATATTTGTATAGCCAAATTGTTTGGTCTTCCATCTCAGCAATTTCGCACTGTCTTACTGGTATTATTTTGAGAAACTTGTGTGTTTGTGTTGTTACTAGCTTATATGATTTTTTCTTAAAATAAATAATCCTAATAATTTCTTAATATTTTACACAACCATATTTTTCTCGTTGTTTCTACTTCCTCCTGTTCATATCATCAGTTTGTTACCAGCCTGCATGCTCGTTTCAGTAGTTACGATTTCGACAGAAAAAATTCATCGCCGAAATGGGCACGTCTTACAATTTGTGTAAGTTACTGTTGTTTTTGTTGTACTTTTCGTCTTCATTGTCGCTTCCATTTTATGTTGTCAGTCGTATTTAGTCTTCATGAATTTCCACTGAAAAAAGTTATCTACTGCTTGAAAATTGAATTATATGTTTGTCATTTTTTTCTCTTTCTAAATGGAAGAGCTTTTTATGTACTGTTTATTACAATAATGTCTTGCTCTGTTTTATGCAAAAGCCTACAGTTTAAGATATCTTTTTTTAAACATTTATTTATATGTTCAAGTTCTTCTTAGTCTATCATTAGGCTCTTGATCTACAATTTATTTTTCCTGATCGCTTATAGTTTTTCTTCCTTCCTTAAATTAATATGCTTACAGCGTAAGTGGGGAAAATGCTCAGATCACTGTAATACAATAGTCTTTCACTTGTTCTAAAGTATAACTATTAACTCATGTTATCCTTATATGATGTTAAAGACTACTCAACGTATAGTTTACATCACAGATAACAGTTAGATAAATATTTCAAACCATAAAGCATCGAGAAGCTGTTTCGTTTTACTATTGAACTCCACAGTAGTGTGAAAATTTGATTTTACATGACAAACAACAATTGTTGATTCATATATTACAATTTTAAATGATGCACTCTGCCTTAAATCTGGCCAATTTTATGGATTATTAATTTGGATTTATAATTTTAGAACCTGATAAGAACTTATAGAAAAGAATATTCTTCGTTCATATAATTGTGTTTTCAATGATTGCCCAACTATACTCAATCCATGATTTAACTTGGAAATTGAAAATTTTCGACAAACCTGCAGTATCACCCAATTAGTTCATTTTCATTATTGACAAGTTGATCGTTAACATTCACAACCCTCACACACCATTCTTTATGTGATTATACAATAATTAAACCTGGTCTTCTCTATTAAGCTTTCACTCATTCTCAATGACAATGAACTTCAAACAATCCAGATACATAAAAACATTGTTAAACAATTATTACTAGTTCAATTATGATTCACTAAAATATACCGTATACATAAAATTCACTAGATGTTTTCAGTGATCTATCTGCTACTTATAATCAGCAAATGTTTTTGGCAATTATTTATTGAAAGTAAATTTAACGTGGCTTTCGGTGTTGTTGTTTCATAATAGTGAGAAAACTTACGAGAAATCAGTAAATTTTGTAAATGAAGGATTGTACATGACATTTGACAAATTTTTATTACTGTCATACTTGAACAGAGAGATACCATAATACACTCAATAGTCATTGTTCTTGTTTGAATAGAGAAAATACAAGAGATAATAATATTGATTATTACTACCATTAGTAACTAAGAGAACTTTTAGCACACTGTATGCAAACCTGTGGTTTTCTTTATTTCTCATATCTTAATCTAGATCGGTCACTTATATAGCCCATTGTTGATTTTTAAAATAAACATAAAATAATATTTGAAATAGAATATTGTTTTTTTTTATGAATGTGTTTTACTCATCCTTATGCATATATAATGTTATCATTTATCACCAGATGTTCGATCCAAACGAAGGACGTATATCTATTGACCTAGAAACTTTAATTATGCGCCTTATTAATCGAAGCGTTGTATCCTCGGTATCCGGTATCGAAAAGACCATTATTGATCGTTCAAAACCAAATCAATGGATGTTCCGAGTTGAAGGTATAAACATGATTGTAAGTTCCATAAAATTCTTATTAGATTTGTAAACATTTATGGTTACCGGTTAGGCTAGTGAACCGTTCTTATACACTTTGAAACATCAAGTAAATTAACATCAATTTGTTTTACAGTACGCTGTCACTTTAATACTACTTCATATACTGCTTGCAAGTAATTTGGAACAACAAATAAACTAAAAATGATAACTGGGAAAATATCTAAATATTACTCTGCTCTGTTATACCGGTTGCTGCTATCTTTCTTACAGCTAGTTTCTTAAACTAAGCAGCTTTGCTTTTTAAACTGACATCAGTAACGATTATGATTGGCGTTCTTTCTTCTTCGTGTGTGAAATTTCTTCACGGAGATAAGCCATTTTCACTGCTGATCTTAAAAAAAGAATCCATTCAGTTATTAATTTAACCGTGCTCTTGAAAATCAGTAATAATCAGTTGATTATTGTCAGGAAACTTGCTATATTCAGTGAATATACTAAAGAGGATCTACAAATCTTTCGAACTGTAAGTTGGTTGATTTTATGTTGAAACACGTATCTGATGTTTTCTGCTCAAGTCTCACACATTGTCATCATAGCAACATCTTTCTGCCAAAAAAAATTACAAAAGGCTATTCAACTATGAAATGTGCTTGAAAATTGTATATCATTCAATTCTTTTCAGAATGTAGGAAAGTTCCATTAAATTGGCTTTGTGATCACACATAAGATATGATCAATAACTTAATGAATTGTTACGTGTTTTTATCCATATTCCACCTTTCTCTCTCAAATTGTATATGCAGGAGATGATGCGTTATCCACAAGTGTTTGATTTGAGTCGACTCTATACTAACAACATCACTGTAATGAATGAAACATACGGTATTGAAGCTGCTCGGGCAGCACTTCAAAGAGTACGTGTTGTATTATCATTACTATTACTATTGTTATTATTTTATTTTTATTAACTTTTCCCAATAAGAAAAACAATGTGTAATGTTCTAATTTATCTGATTGTAAATATTTGTGCACTTTTTATATATCTGTTATGAAATCTTTTTTATGATATGTTACCCGGCCACTTTTTAAGATCAGCTAGTGTTCTTTTTTCAAATGTTGAAGTAATGGTTTTTGGTTGTTAAACCAAACTGTTATAACGCTCGGTTTTACTTCGTCTAATGTTATAACGATTGGGTTTCCACGTTTACATGTATGGGACGTTAATTTGCCTTAGACGAATATCTACATTAGATTCACTCTCAGTGTCTATTCTACAGGACTTCAACACAACTCAGATCTAGAACACGTGATTATCCTGACCACAACGTAAATATATATCCACACCAAAAACCGACACAACCCAACAACAATGAACAATCAATAATAACTGATTTAAAACAATTAGTCCCTTTGATAAGTCTCGATAACGCAGTGAGAAGACGAAGTTTATCAGAATTATGTAAACTGATAAACTTCGTCTCCTCATTGCATTATCGGAACAATAAGTGAGTAATAATAATAAGGATAAGGGAATATACAATTCATCTGACACCTGTAAGACTATCTAAATGTCTGACTAAGCAGATAACCAATCGTTATCACTCGCCCATACATCACAAACCATTTGTCTTTCAATTACTAAACCTCAGGTTCGAATCCGTCTTTCTACCTACTTCTGTTTAAATAACCAGATGATATTATTAACTACCATACAATTAACATGTGTATGGTTTAAAGCCGAATAAAACAGATAGTACTCGGCGAACAGATTAAGTATTGAGCTTTAGCACATGCACAAATTTAATTGTTTCATGTAATTGAAAATTTAAACACTAGTGAAGACTCATAACTATGTTATTGTTACTATTTTACTCTTAGGAAGTATCTGGGGTCTTTGGTCATTATGGGATTCATGTGAATTCACGGCATTTATCACTAATTAGTGATTATCTTACAAAATTTGGCGTTTATCAGGCTTTTAATAGACGTTCAATGAGTTCACATCCATCACTGCTTCAGCAAATGACCTTCGAGACTGTTGCAAATGTTTTAAAAAAATCATTACAAAATGGTAGTTCTATACTATTTTATTTGTATGTATTTATGTATGTGTAACTGTCATAGTAGTTTTTCTTACCAATGTTGGTCATAATTTTATAGAATTTCGATTTTGAATTCATTATGCTCGCAATCTAATTGAAATAGTGCGTTGATTACATTTCCGTATTTCGAAATAGTAACTGATTAAAGCAAGAACCATCTTGTTTAACAATTTTCTGTGCAAAAATGTCTTAATTCAAGTGAATTGAAAGAGTGAAATGCATGTTTTTCCTGATATGGTTTGGCCATTTGAACCGATATGTATCAGGTTCTGTGTTGTTTATAACTGATTAAGTGATCTCAATTTTAAAGGCATGTTATAAAAAACAGTTTTCACAGGAATTTCTGAAGATATCACTTCCTACTATAGTTAGTCACTATGTTGAAGTTGAAAAAAACATTGCTGGAAACGTAACTACGTATCATCTGTGTTTTCCATCAAAACTCCAATCATTATCTCTATATGCGTTTTTAATGTCATATAAATGAAATATTTTCTATAACGTATATGAAATGAGTTACCACAGTTTCGTATCATTAAAGATTTTACCAAACCGTATTTTACGTTATACAGAGTGATGATTTTTTTTTAAAAAAAAAACTAAATTTTCTAGACTCATCAGTGAGTAAACACAGTAATTTATTTATTCCTAGACAACATTATCTACAGCATGTATGATACAATTTCTCTGATTCGTTCCACTGATTCAAAGTGCCAATTGTCAGTTGTCATATATCGACTCACAAATATAGTATTTAAGTACTCTTAAGAAAACTAATAGTATCTCTTTTTTATTACTTTATCGCATCACAATTCCAGTTGAAATCTTACATATATAATAGTGTCATTTAAGACAATTTTTAACGATAGCCCATGAATAAATTCTTGTTGTTGATGAAAACCAGCATTTTTGTTAGGTTGTTAAAGGTAATCTACAAAAAAACGCTGGATTTAGGTTCCATTTTAGTTGTCAATCGTCAACAAGCTAAAACTGCTGTCTTAAGCGAATCGACGCTGAATGTAGGTTTTAAATATGCATCATTCTCTCTCACAGTTTGGCACCTGGGCATTCTCAACTAATTTTCATGATATCAAACTTTTATTTCTCTTTTGTAGTTCATTTACATAATGATTTGTTTATAGTTTGTTTTTTTTTACAAAAAAACAAAGTCGGAAATTACAGTAAATTAAGTGTATTCTACAAAAACTATCATTCTAAATCTGTTTGAATTTATAATTTATTCCATTTTATTACATACATTCTATTATTTTACTTTTTACTACTGTGTAGATTCTATGGACAATTTAATTTCTCCTTCTGCAAGTTTAGTTACTGGTCGAATAGTTCATTATGCCGGAACAAATTGTTTTGAACTACTTCAAAAGTTGGCTTGTTAAATAAAACACACATTTTATCAATAAGAAATCAATAGAATTTTATGTGTACAGTCATACCTTCAATGATTTCATGTATGTATGTGTGTGTACAAAATATTTCCCAGATTGAAATTTATGTAAATATAAAACAGGAAAATAATTGCAATCGTCTTTTAATTAGTTTTTCTTTTTTCTTTTGAAATCCTATTGAAGATTTTTATCACTAATTTGTCACTTGTCTTAGTTATATTATTGCAATATAATCAGGCAAGATTTTTTACATTTTTCTTGTATCTAATATTAGATAAGTCAAAATAGGTTGTTGTCGTTTGATTTGTTCTCATAGTTACTAATACACCACGAAATTTTAACGTAAAATTATTCAAGATTACTTGATAAATATTAAGTAGCATACTCATTTATCCACTGTGTTAACTCGATGTTTTTGATATGACAGATGGTTTAAAATATTTTCATCACACTGATATATAATACGATAATAAGACTAGTCACGTTGTATCAGAACCAGGATTCACAACCTAGAATAGAGAGCCAGATTAACACTAGATAATACTTCATTCAATACAATCACAAACAGTCACACTCAGTGAGTCCAAAGTGAAAATCAATAACAGGAAAGGAAACCACATATTTAATGGTTAGTAAGCTGTGTCTGTTTGTCCACGCTCAACGACCAATCATATATTGCTTTGAATATCACATCAATTTCATGAAATGATATATATATATATATATATATATATATATATATATATATATATATATATATATATATATATATATATATATATATATATATATAATGTGCATTATGCACCAAGACTGTCTTTGTTATTACTTTTACTGAGCATCACATTACTGCACACCGTAGCGAGATTATTATCTAACCAGTTACTATTGTTCAAATAATTATAACTTGAGACTATTAGATTCAAAACCATATAATAATAAATATTCTGTAAACTATTTTGTCCCTATATGTTATATTACGTAGTCTGTCCGAGGAATTACCAGTTAATCTAAACAAGTAATTAGAAAGTATACGATTGTATAAAATCAAATAGATAAGGATTTAAAAAACCAGATTCATATGGAAGAGGAAAATTAGGGATAAAGGAAAAGTTAGTAAAAAAACTTTCAAACGAAGTGCATTAGAACAGGATAATCCGACATGGAGGGAATTGCTATTAGTCCTCATTTAAGATCGTTATTCAGGGAAAAGAGAATCAAAGCCGTTTGACGTGCATTCGTGTCAGTATTTGTCATAGATCCTGTTGATGCAATTATCTACATAACCTGAAGTCTGACTGATCTCTTGAGGTCCGGTATTGTTGGACCTCAGTTTAACGTCGTATTCATGGGGAACGTAAGGGTTTGAAGACAGTATTCATCAATTTGTCTCTACGTCTGACAGGCAAAAATATTAGTCTCTTATTTAGATAAGTAGTAAGCAATCGAGATCGCTAGGCATATGGTTACTGTTGTCCAAATAATTGCCCAGTCATTCCCACTAGCTTAACTGAATCATCATCTCTAAAAACTGGAGTCAACTAGCACATTATAATCATCCAATCTAGTTGGCTTTTTCCTTGCCCCCAAATGCCGTGGTACGACTGAGAATGGGGAGAGTTAACTCTCCCTCTCGAAATGCTCTCACATGACCACGCGTATATAGGCACTATCAGGTAAGTCCTACTCACTGCCTTCTCGCGGCATTACTGCTTACGAAATTGAGAGGATGAAAAGCGAATGTCCAGCACCTTAATCGGGTTGGTAGATACGGAGGATAAACCTAGGGGAGTTGGGGAACCCTGATTCCAAACCAATAGTCCCAATGACTTCCAGGATCCTAAGGAAACAAATGACGTATGAACCTATTCTTGGTCACCGGATACCATGGGACTGAATCTCCTAAAGTTGCTGCACTGCCTTGTGGATTAGACCTTCAGGTCAAAAGCTTAGAATGTGACCCCCTAAGAAAACTACCTGCTTCGGTTTGGGCACCTGGGCAGTATCACAGTTTACGCACAAGAGACTTGTGTGGCGCATATGTTTTCGGTGCCTTTTGTACCAATATTTACGTGTTCAAATAAATAATAATAAGGTTTGTTATCAGCCAAACTCCTTGTAATTGTTTTCCTTTTATTCTCATTTTATGACTGCATATGTTTAACTCAGATATCGGTTTGTTGCACCATGAGTGTGGTGAATATTCACGCAATTTTTCGTTATCTTTTAAATTAACTTTTTTATACACTAGTAAATTTCATTTATTTTTAAGTTACCAAAGTTAGGAATTTTTTACCAACGCACTCAATGGATCAATATACAATAAATCACACTACGAAGTTATTACATCAGTTACACTTTAATATAGATCATTTATTAACTACTCTGGGTATAAAAAATTACTAACTACATAATTGTATTAATAATTAAGTGTTTCACTTGTCATTCTTTATTCCCATAAGAAAATTATGTGAACTTCATTAAATACGATAATGCCATAATTGGTGTTCTACTTATTTATTCTTACTAATTCAATTCTCATTGTTTACATGTTATTATTGATAAAATAAAGTGAATTTGGCTTGGTAACCATTTTCAAATTCCTCGCCCCTCAAATTTTCAATAATGTTAGTCATGTGTTTATTGTTATTACTCTACGTCATTGTTACCGAAATGTGTATGTCTGAAATAATCTTTAAAGCTTTAATCTGGTCTAAGTGATAATAAATACATGATTATTAGTGTGAATAGTTCTTATTTTTTGTTAGTATTCATGGCTTAATTGGGCCGGTTAATTTTTTGGTAATACGAACTATTTTAATAGATAACTCACTATGTGTCTTATGAATTACATGGTAATTTTAATTTCTATGGATATTAATTGAGGAAGAATCTTTTACGGTGTGTATTTAGTCAAATTTAGGGACTTATTCTTAATCCTACTATTACCAACCAAATCAACTTGTAATTACGGATAATATTGAGTGTTTCAGTCCACAAGAGTTTATACACCAACAAATATTGTTCATAATAATTCACGGGAATCAAAACTAGAAAAATGTAAACTCTTACAAATAATAGTGATAAATATCATACTTTTATAGAAATTTATGGACTACCAAAACTGGATAGCTAAGTAGATATTACTCGAATGTTTAAAGCGTTAGGTTTTAATTTTAGAGTAAATATTATAACTGGTATACGGATAAATTCAACTGAGGAGTCTCAAGTAAGATAGAACATAGGTCTTAAAAATGTCAATAACTTTTGTGTTCTAAAGATGTGTTTAGAATTTGTTTACAATCCAATCGCAAGATCATTACCATATTTCTATACTAGGTCGAAATAACTGTTCAGTGTTAGCTTTACTGTCATTTGTTATCCAACTGATATCAATCTGTGGGGAAACTAATCTCTCTATCCAACTGATAAATATTGTAATCTACAAAACTGCAGACTTAATGTCAGTATCAAGAATGGTAAATTTATTCGTGATCAACATCCATTAACCTTGGTGGTTTGTGTCATACTATGGACAATCTGAAATTCCACCAATCACGTCTTACTTAAAATTTGAGGATTCTACTCAATGTTAATTACTAGTAAGCATAACATTCATTATCAGGACGAGAGGTCTTTCATAATTGTTAAATTTGATGACAGTTATTTAACTAACATCAGTATATGCTACAAAATGAACAATCTTCATAATCATTTCGTCGTAATTATGAATCGGTTATTGAATAGTAAGTCAAATCACAAGCAGCTTGCCAAGAATTAGTTCCTTTCAAATTAATTGCTTGTTATCACAATATAATCAAAAATTACACTGAATCACGGTGTTGTATATGGTAAACATATAATATATGTCAATAATGATTTCCCAGTGAATTTACTTATAACTATATGATATGACGAAGAAGCTGGCAGAGAAATATGGTGAACTAGAGTGACCTGTCAAGAAAAAAATAGGCAGGCCAGGCACTGCTATTCAAGAACAGTGGAACAGGTGGGTAGAGCACTATGAAGAACTCTTGAATAGACCAGCACAACTGAAGCCACCGGATATCGAAGCAGCACATTAAGACCTTCCGGCAGCTATCACCCATCAACGATCGAAGAAATCAGGATGGCCATCAGACAAATCACAAATGAGAAAGCAGCAAGACGTGGGCGGCCTGCTTGAGCATCTGGGCTACCTGTTCCTGTCATCTAAATATTTCAACAAGTTATCTATTTTTGTTTGTTTTAATATATCATTATGTATATTAATCGCATAACCCATCCTTGTGCATTTCTGAAAAGTTTACAACCTTTCGTTGGGCACACTATGTGTGTTAGTTTACGGGTTTTCGCGCACGTGTAACATATTGTCGTGGATTTTGTGTCGTTATTTATCAGCTATTAACAGACTTTTTTCCATCATACGTGACTTCTCGTAATCTTTGTGATTGGAAGATAGTTTTTATTTCAATTTATAAGCAGTTTGACGTATTTCGTGCTCACCACTTAAGTAAATATGTAGTTGTCGTAATATGGTTATTCTTAAGAATACAAAGTCAAACAAGTCAAATCACCATTTTTCTAGTCAAAAATAGATTACGGATTGAGTTTTCATGAAAATAAGCCTTAAAAAGCATGATATATGGTTCACCTCCTTGATTATGGTGACGGCAAACATAGATGTTCGTAGTCGTTTATAAAATGTAATCTGAAAGAAGTAAGCGTTAAACTAACTATGAATATTATATAAATTGTTTGTATTTAGCCATAAAAGGTTATTTGGACTATAGGTGGCATTGTTTTGTACTGAAGTGACATATTATTGTGTAACGTATCAGTAAAAAATTATGTGAGCAACAATTGACGTTGATAGTCTTTTTTACCGGCTTTCTGAACGTATACAGGAACAGTGTATAACACCACATTAAATAGGCACAAAATCTTCATAAGTAAAACGATGGGTGTCTCTTCTGAGCATGGTGACAAAACCATGTCGTACTTAATAACGATTTATGTGTCTGTTATAGGGTTGACGGATAATTTTCTGTAAACGAAATGCACAATCGCAGACGAAAATGTGAACAAAGTTATGATGCATATTGTCGAGTAATATCTAAATGGTACTTACCAATTTATCTTGCTAATA